CTTTTAGATTCAAGTGGGAAGATCACCACATGTATTAGGAATATAAAAACATCCCACTCTCGTTTGCTTTTTTGCTGTCGACTGGAAAGATCAAGAAGGGATGATGATGATGATGATGATGATGATGATGATGATGCTGACGCTTCGTTGCCCATCGTCGTTGCCCTGCCAGGCTAAACCCAGGCATTAGCCGTATTTCAACATATGTATATATACATATATAAATGTATGCATCTTGTATCTTTCTAATGCGTATACACACATAAATATTTATTTATTGGGTGATTGTTCTTTATGTATATCTTATACCTAAATACATCTGGTTGTAGATGAAAAATGTATGATCCCAGCACGCCATTGGGATCATGTTTCCAATTTTCGTCGCTCTCCTGCTTCAGCAATCCATGGCTTTCTGTTCTTCATTTGGTAACAGATATTATTCCACCAGGTGTTGATTAGTTCGGCACCAGATGTTGACTACCAACCGGTGAAACAAAATCCTTCGCATCCACTCAGGGTATGATTTGTCAAGCGGTGCCGTTTGCCGATTCTACGATTCTTTCCTAGACAGCGGCCACAAAAAAATTCCCGTGCTTCGCTTCATCCCTTTGTGACGGCTTTATCTCACATATCCGCGTCAGCGCTGCCGGAACCAGCAAGTGAGCAGTATTCCTATATTACCCTAGATATCGGGGATTATCATCATCAATTTCTAAAAATCAGCCATATAAAGGGATTAGCTAAAGCTTTCCAGCCCTGCTCAAATGAATATGGGATGGTATGGGTCAAACATTTTTAGATGTCCTGCTCCCCATGGGAAGCATGATGTGCTGTGCACGTGGGCCAAACGGCGCATGTTCTTTGACCCACACCAAACCGTCGGAAGGTGAAACTTTTGAAAACATAGCTTGGCGGCTTGGCAACATCCAAACTGGCAGACATGGAATCGTCCCATACAGATTTGCTGCCAGAAAAGTTGCTCCACAGAATGTGGCATGTATTGATCATTGTTTTAGTTTGGAACTTACATGATGATTCTTCCTTCTATCACGCAGGGATAAAGAATGTGGTTGCTAACATATCTGATTGGCACCCCTTCAAAAACCAAAAAACCAAATATGCATATCTGCTTCTATCTGCCTGACATGTCCGACCCAAATACAACGGCGGCCGCCCACCCGGCTTGTCAAACGCTGCCCGGCTCTCTACCTTTTCAAACAAAAAAATAGAGACAATCATCCCCGGCAAAGAGGCCCTAACAGCGTTGAGGAAAACATCTGTGAACAAAAACTCCAGGACCTCAAGCCAGGACCTCACTGAGAATTTCACACAGTCGTCAAAGAAGGACCTGCTAGAGGGATCTGAGAAGATCTTTGTACAAGAACCTCTTGAAGGCTTCCCTTGCAAACTTTCATACAAGCACCTTCTAGATCTTCACGCAAATATCCTTTAGAAGATTCCAGCAGGATGTGCGCAAGATCTCCTCACAAACACCTCTACAACAAAGGATTTCACTAGGATATCCACAAGATCTCCTCGCAAGGACTTCTACAAAATCAGGAATCTTCGAGGATCTCGACAGGATCCCTACAAGATCCCCTTCCAAGAACCTCATACAGCAGGACTGCCCGACTGCCCCAACGTCGGGCCCAACGGGCCCAACGGGCCCGACGGGCTCGACGGGCCCCAACGGGCCCGACGGGCCCCGCCTGACGGGCCTGACGGGCCCAACGGGCCCAACCCAGCAGAAGACCATGGCCGACGCCTTACAATCCTAGAAAATATTGATCATGAGTTAGGTTGGGAAATGATGATGGTGGTGGTGATGATGATGATGATGGGGTTTGAGGGGGATGATGATAATGATGATGATGAGGAAGATGAAGAAGAAAATGATGATGATGATGATGATGACGATGACGATGATGATGATGATGATGATGGCGGCGATGATGGTCCTGCTGATGATGATGGTGGTGATGATGATGGTGATGATGAGACGGAAACCAGTTCGGGGCACGAGCAAGCAATGGCACCTGGCCGTAATAGTACTCCTTTCTTTGGTGGCGTAGTGGGGGTTGGGGTGGTGGAAGGGCCCTATGTCTCTATGATAAAAATGATAGATATGATATTTATGATAAAAATGACATATATGATATGTTTAACATCTGATACAAAAACAAGTTCTTTATATATACGAAAACAAAAAAGGAAAATGAAATACACGGCATATATGATACATATGAAACACATGATGTATTTGATATCATTGAAATGTATGATGCATGTGATATACATGTAAATGCTTTCTATGATATCTCTCTCTATATTTATAAATATAATTCTCTGTATACATAAATAAATATACATAAATAAAGCATATATGATATTTTTGAGACAACAGGTACATTTGAAAACATATGATACACATGACCTGTTTGAAAAGATTATCCAAAAGAACTAGGTGAACTTTCCAAAAATAAAAACAAATACAAAAATAAAATCAAAATAAATTAAATATGCAAAAGCATTCATATCAATAACATATAATATATACACATAAACAGTATATATATAAATAGTTATATATATATAAATAGTTATATATATATATATAAATAGTTATATATATATAATATATGTAATATTATATTTTTATACATACACATGTGTACATCATACATGTGAAAATGCTGGAACGTCTGGAGATGATGTTGCTGATGATGATGATGATGAGAAGAAGATGATGATGTTGATGTTGAGGAGGAGGAAAATGATGATGTTGAGGAGGATGATGTTGAGGAGGAAGACCGATCCCAAGACCGGGAAGCACACTTTGTGCGAGCCTGCGCAGCTGTACAACAAAAGCTGCGCCCTTCCTTTTCACACAAAATCGCTCGCGCGCTCGCCCTGTATAGCCTTAATCAGTGTGCCTTTAGCAACGCCGCAGCAACGCCATGCCATCACCTTTGGACTTGTTCCATAGAACGGTGGGCGGTGATAGGGGATAGATAGAGCCACTGATAAGAAGCCAAACTTCTCGATTTTTGCTTCTCAGGTGACCAGTAGTGCAGGCATGTGTCTTCGCATGCCTCACGAGGTGGCCCACCATCAGCAACGGCAGCAGATCTTCCTGCATTGTTGCCAGCTCTGACCCGGCAAGTGTCGTGAACAAAGCCTTGTACTTGTTCTCAGTCACGGTCACCTCGCAGTTGACCAGCAGGGGAAGCGGCACGTCCCTTACAATGACCCCGGCACGCAGCAAGTCCATGGTGTACCCACCCTCCGCCAAATCCACTGCTCGCATTGTATAGTGCCATCCGTCGTCCTCTGCCGTCACGTGCGATTCGAAGCAGTCGGCAAGCACACCGGGACCCCGCAGCCATAAGGTAAATGCCTCCAATCTCCAGCCGGGTGGCCCGTCGAAGTCCTGCACGTCATGGTTCCACCTGTGGTTGCCGACCTGCTAGAGTACCCACCTGTCAGGTTTGTTGCCAAAGATGTCTGACATACTCTTGTCGAAGACGTCCTCAATGAATGCAAACTCCAGCAAGCCGGCCGGCATGGGTTGCAATGAGAAAACGAAAGGCACCAAGAAAGGGAGCGATGGCTGCGGCTAAAGCCGAGATGCAGCTCAGACGAAGGAAGAAGTCAAAGAAAGCGGTTCTTCGGACAACAAGCAAACCCGTGCTGCGCGTGTGGTTTCAATCCTTTGCCGTGCAAACACCAGCCCCGTGGAACAGGGCATCATCGAATTATCTTTTCACACCCGCAAGCTCGTTAGGGAGAAACGTCTTGGGTTGCGACGGCCGGCTTGGGCCATGGCCCACTGCTGTCGCTCCTGTTCATGGGTGAAAATTCGCGCCGGATCGCCTACGTAGTTGGCCCGGGTCGCGTCCGCCGGCCCTTCCTCACGGAAGCATTGCTCACCTTGTTCCATTGCCAACGGCCTCAGGGAGGAGCCCTATGTCAAATTGACGCAGGCCAGCTTGTGGGGACTCCTCAAAACAGCCTCGTGGTAAGGAATCCGGATTTGCGCAGCCAAGGAGCAGGTGCAATGCGTAATAGTCGACGGAGTCCAGCTTGTGTGGGCTCCTCAAAGCAGCCTCGTCATAAGCAATCGGATTTGCTAGAGCCATTTTGTATGGCAATTCACAGGGAAAATGCCAAACGCTAATTCCGGGCGCCCGCTTCGTGCGAGCCTGCGCAATCGAAATGCACATGGGCATTTCACAAGAGCCGTTTTGTGGAAATTTACAGGGAAATGCCGGACGCGACGGATACCACATCGATTAAACACCGGGCCTTAACACTTACCATATGAACCCCTCAGCGTGGCGGCGCTGTTTGGGGAATAAACGAGTCAACAAATAAGATAATTGAATAAATAATATATATATATACGTATATAAATATAAATGAGTAAACATAAAAAAGTTTCAAAGTAGTAAGTAAATATATACAGAAAAGGCAAATATAAAAGCAAGAACATGTATAAAAGTATATGTACGTATATAAAAAGGTAATTGTAAATGTAAAGTATATGTTTGTAAAAAAATGTAAACATATAAGTACATGAATATATACAAGTTTATTTTAAAACAAATATATGCAATTATGTATGTATATATATATATGTAAATATATAGAAGTATAATATTTATAAAAACGAAAACATACATAAAAGTAGGTGTATGTATCTTTCTATCTATATATATATATATCATACCATATATGCAAACCCATTCATGATTAGCTTTAGCAAATGTTGTCAATGCAAGCAAACGTGGCACCTTCATACCGTTGTTTCAATCCCACTAGCACAAGTATATTGTTAAATCACCAGAAGTGCCAACAGCTTTTGAAGTAAGGAGGAATCAAAAACTTTGACTTTGAATGTTAATAGCAAAGGTTGCCAAAGTGGATGCCAGTGCCAAATGTTCCAAAGGATCCGCAAGGCCATTCACGCACCTGGGGTGAAACATGCGGCCATGGATGAC